CTCGGGGGTGATTAAAGTGGGTGGCAGCCGTTGATGAAAGGCCTCCATCAATAGCCAATTGATGACGTTTTGCCCGCCATTGAAATGACAAGTAATTGATGTGAATCGTATTTACGGTGCCATTTTCAGGTGCCATTACCGCGCGTTTCTATTTGTAACTTTAATACGGGTTTTGGTCTCATGTGCTTAACTTTACGGCTTTGTTATTATGTAGGTCGTAACCAAATGCCAAGGACATTTTCAAAATATTATTATTGTTGACGTTGTTATTCGTAAAACAAGTATTTTTATCATCATCATTATTGTTATCATTATTATTATTGTTGATATTGTTTTTATTGCTATGTTATTACTGTCTTACGCATAGTGCTACTGCAATAATCACCACGATCATTATTATTTTATTTTTTAGATCTACTTCTTGTAGAACTACTACTTTTGATAGCAGTATTGTCGTCATTATTGTTATGATTACTAAAATTAGCATTCAATGACCTGTTTATTTTCGTTGCGTCTTTTCCGGCTCCGCCTCCCGCCTCCGACTCCCACGGTTCCTTGTATGCGTTGAAATCACCAATTCCCCGAATCCGCCCGCATGTCCGTGGGCGTCTGTGGGCGTGAGGTGCGCCCTTCGATGCCGCCACTTCCGAATCCCCAAAGAGTGATTCAGTTTCTCGGTTGGGTTGTTATTTTTATGCGATGGCTTCGGGAGTTGATGAGGTTGCTGGCTAATGGCGCTCTTTAATTGGTCTTGATTGGTTTGGTTTGCGTGACAGCGTTGTCATTGCTGCGGCTGCCATTGGTTTGATTACCCCGCGTGACACTACCTCTTGCAAGAGCTAATCAGTGTTGCAAGTCATAAATATGACGCTGAGGCTATTGTTGCAATTATTCAACAGCACACCTGTTTGCTCAGTCTCGGTCCTTTCGTCATCCCGAGTTGATTATGGATAAGATCAAGGCAAGATTAGATTTCAGTTGCAATATCAGAGCAGACTTCAGGTACACGGTCAAGGCAGTTAAACCTCAAGTACAATATCATTGCGAGATTAGACTTCAACTACAATATCAATAGAAGATTAGACTTCAATTACAAGATCAATAGAAGATTAGATTTATGTTAGCATAGCAGTACAGGCTCAGACTTCAAGTACAAGATCAAGGCAAGAGTAGACTTCAAGTGCAGGTTCATTGTGAGATTAGACTTAAAGTACAAGATCGAGGCAAGGTTAAATTTCAGTTACAGTATCAGTGCAGGCCCCAACTTCAGGGACAAGATCAGTGCAAGGTTAGACTTCAAGTTACAAGGTCAAGGGAAGGTTAGACTTCAGGTACAAGATCAGGCAAGATTAGACTTCAAATGCAAGATCAAGGGAAGGTCAGATTTCAGTTGCATCTGCATAGAACTTGCAAAATATCAACTTCAGCGGAGTACCTGACTCGCCCTTATCGTAGCCAGAAGCAGTCCCTACAAGCGGTCATGGCGACGGGGATTATCGCCCTAAAGACCCCTGACCACAAGGGCTGCAATTGCTTTAACATAAATTGTGCAATACGGACTCTAGCGACATCCTCAGGAATGCAGGAAGTCCCGGATGTAAGCTTGAGGGTTGCGGGAGATAAGCTATTGTTTGTTTGTCTTATTTGGTTGTTTATTTTGGTTTGTTGTTGCTTTGTTTATATGGTTCGTGATACTTTGTTGTTTGTGATATTGTTGTTGGTGCCATTGCTGTTACTACTGTTATTATTACTATTATTGTTGTTGTATTATTATTATTGTATTATATTATTATCATAACTATTTTTTATGTATTGTTATATTTTTTTTTAGTGTTGTTGCTATTGATATTGTAGTTATTGGTATTATCATCAGCTGCAGAATCTTTTATCATTATTATTTCTGTTATCGTAGTTATTCCTAGTTTTGTTATCATTCATATTCTCGATCTT